GAGCAGTTCTGGGGAAAGCTGCTGATGGCATGATTAACCCCGGAGTTTAATCCAAGCCCCCAGGAAACCTTCTGGTTACCCTGCCTTGTCCCCTAACCTCTCACATCTTGGGCCCCTTGCCTCCCAGGCTGCCATGCTTAAGAGCGACAGCTAAGAAGGGGTCTGGGTTTCCTCCCACTCCCAGCCTGGAATGGGGTTGTCTGCATCCCCAGTGAGCATAAGATGACAGGTTTCTGGGGGTGGGGACGAGAAGGCGCTATTTATTTTGGGTGAATTCAAGGCAAAGAGGTCAGCACAGAAGTGGGCATGGCTAGGCTTGCAGGGCCTGAGGGTGGAAGGGTGGAGGGACACAAAGGCCCCCAGCGAGTGGGAGGACAAATGTGAGCAGGGGCCGGGGCCCTGGAGAAGCCTGCCTTCCAGCCATGCCGTCATCCCAGAAGGGTGTGCTTGGAGTATAATGGCTGTAGCTACAAATTCTATTAACTCTAATAGTTGTTCTGTGGTGAATGGATAATGCATTTAGCAGAAATAGACTCAATCAATTTATACGAAACACATAAAACTTTCTCATTGGAATTGGCATCTGTTCTTGAGTCATGTGTGGCAATGGACCGTCTGCCAGCCTCACTCCTGGGCACACGAGCGCTGCCAGGGGCTAACTGGAGAGATGAGCCACAGAAGTGCGGGCTCCCTAATGCCACATCCCTTTAGACCTTAGGATCATGGAACTGGGCACAGCAGGGGACTTGGAGACTGTGAACTTCCCAACCTTGACTTTTTCCAAATAGCATTTCTCTTCCTGGATCTGTGTTACCCTCCTAACACAAGTGCTGTCACAGGTTTGCTAACTTGTCCCAGGAGGGAGGACCAGTCCCAGAACAGCCCAGCACCAAGGCTTGCTGGTGCAAGGTTTTCTGACTCCTTATTCAGTCAACTGCCCACGATTCTACATATTTTAAATGACTTTTACTTCCCTGACCCCCACCCCCAGCAGAAATGCACACTCAAAAACTAGCAAACCAACTGTTCCCATAAAATAATATCAGAGGCGAGGCTGTGGTTTTGATGCCATGACCCACGAAGCGGGACCGTGTTTGGGACTGAGCTGCATCCCTCGGCCCTTCTCTCCTGCTTCTGAACTCCACGCAGACATGGGCTAAGGCAGGAAGAACCATTGCGCTGTGGGGGCCTGGTTCCCTCTCCAGGGCTTCCCTGAGAAGGTGGCAGAGCCTGCTTGCATCCCCTCACCCCAATCTCACCCCAATCTTCACTATTGCTGAGAGGGAGCTGAGGGAGAGAGACAGAGAGAGAGAGAGACAGCTTCGTTGCCCTGTGATTGCATTATTCCAACCATTTGGTTAGCGTAATTGCATGTGCAAAGCTGACAAATGTAATTTTCCTGGACTTAATACTTGCCCCGTTTTCTCTTTCAGCCTCTTCATCTGATTACCTAAAGTGACTCACGGCTTCCGAGAATGCGGCGTGCGGGATGCACCTGCACAGCCCTGCCTGGACGCTTCGCGATTCCACTCTGCCCCGTGGGCCGGGAGGAGAGGGTACCCCTAGGGCGGGACGGACTGGCTGCAGGGACCCGGGGAGTAGCTATTTTCTGAAGACCCGATTTGGCCTTTGTGTTGCTCAGTGTTGCTCTCAGGCTTGCTTGCTGCGGAGCTGAAATGCCACCAGCCACCCCTGTTCCAGCCCAGTAGAAACTGACAGCCCTGAACTTTGCAAAGAAAATCTTATTATCTTGTCTCCTCAATTCTTTGTCAAAGCGTTGGGAGCTGATTTGTTTGCTGTTCATGCAGGGGCTCTGGTCTGGGATGCTCTCCCTGCCGCTCTTCTATTTTTAGTGTTTATCTCTGATTGGAGACTTTGATACTTCCAAGTAGCTTAGCTAGGGAAAAAATGTAGACTTCAGGTTCATATCCTGGACTGCTCCCCACCAGCTGCAAGATTCTTTACTTCTCCTCCCACCAAGGGCAGCCACAGTGACTGTCCTGGGGCCAGTGCGAAGGCTGGTCCACTCCTGAGACAGGAGTCAAGCTTACTCCTTGTCTGTTTCCTTTGCCTTCCCACTATTCACCTCCAGGGGGCGCTCTCATATAGAGGCTCTGAGCTCTGGCTTGGTTTCACGCCACCGCCACTCTCCTCCCCTGGGCCAGCAGCTCCAGCACTGTGAGGACTGGGTCATCCCTCCTTGCCGTAGCCACAGGGGAGGGGCTGGGCCCACGTTGGCTGGGTGACTATTGCTGAGTGAGTGCAGCCATGGCCTTGGCCTACCTGAGTCCACATAAACCTCTCTTGCTGCAGGGACATCATACTAACTGCTTACATGATCCTCATCTACATGGGAAGTTCTTTTGAGTTCTTGACCTGGCTCTTGTATTGCCTAGCATCACTGAACACAGAACTGGCCACAGAGGAAGTGTACAAGGACTGGAGGTGGGTCTACCTGAAAGCCAGGTGAGGCCAGGGCCAGGGTATGGCCTGTTCTCCCTGAGCAGAAGCTGAGTCTAGGGACTGGGGTTGTGGCATCAGTTCAAGTCCTGGCTGCCCCACTTCTTATCCAGCTCCCTGCTAATGTGCCTTGGAAAGCAGCAGAGGATGGCCCACGTCCTTGGGCCCCTGTACCCCTGTGGGAAGCCTGGATGAGGCTCCTGGCTCCTGGCTTTGGCCTGACCAAGTCCAGGCCATTGTGGCCACTTGGGGAGTGAACCAATGGATGGAAGATCCCTTTCTCTGCATCTCTCTTTCTCCCTCTCTCTAACTCTGCCTTTCAAAGAAATACAATAAATCTTAAAAAAAAAAAAAAAAGGAGCTGAGTCCAGGGGCTCAGGGGATACTGCTGTGGGTGATGGGGAAGGGCGGTTCTGCCCCAGGGAGATCCTCCCAGAGGAAACAGAGACACTCACGCCATGTACTCGCAGGGGTCTGCAGCAAGGCAGGTCTGGGGGACCTGATCAGGACCCGAGGTGCCCCCTGCTTGGGTCCCAGGAGGAGAAGCGGTATTGGAAGCCTGGCCCAGCTTCTTCCTCACTGGAGCTTCTCTTCCCTGCACCAAGGGGCTCCTGGGCAAGCAGAGGGTCTGTTCTAGAGCTTTCCCAGAGTGCCAGGTGGCTGGTGTACTCCTGAGGCTGCCCAGGGACATGCTGGGCCCACCAGCGTTCAGGTCATTCGGGAAGGGAGAGGGAACACCGACACACAGACCCTTGCAGAGGAATTCAGGCAGGGGTGGGGAATGTCTGGCCCGTGGGCCGTGGAAGGCCCAGGAAATCACGTGGTCTGGCCCTGCCGAGGCAACCGCAGGCAGGACACGAAAGTCAATAAATCCATAGCAGGCGAATTTGGATAATTTTGTAGGGCCTGCGAATATTGTTATAAATATCCAAATGGCCCTGGGCAGAAAAAAGGTTCCCCAGCCCTGAATTAGGAGTACAGCTGCTCAGTGCGGGAGGCTGGTGTTCCAGCTGCCGTGGTCTCCTGCCTCCTGGGCTGCCCCTCACTTCCAGGGCGAGTCAGCAACGGCTTGTGAGCAGCCACGTGACCTCATCAGAGTGGCCACTGGGCAGGCCCTCGCTGAGCAGCCTGTTAGGGGCTGTGGGAGTGGGTGGCAATAAACCTGGAGTCAGGCAGGGCCAGTGGCTGTTTCCTAAACACTGCTGCCCAGGAGCTAGCTGGAGCCTGCTGCTGCCCACCAGTCGATCGATCGGCAGGTGCTTCTCGAGTCTCTGCTATATCGCCAGCGCTGGTGCTTGGGCCAGGGCAGGGGGCTTGCAGCCACGTTCAGTTTGCACATCAGAAGGGGAAGCCTCACCTCCCTCCTGAATTTATAACTTTGTCAGTTTCCTAACTTTCACACAAGGAGGTGGTAGCTGACCAAGGGCCAAGAAGTCAAAGGTGGTGGATCAGTGGGGCTTTGGGGCGGGGGGCAGGCAGGGCTGCCCCTTCAGGCTAGATCGGTTCAGGAGCCATGAGGCTAATGAGGGAAGTGGGGAGCCATTGCAGCAGGCCAGGTTCTCCTCCAGATGGAAAAGTGGGCGTGGGCAGGTGTCCTGAAGTCCTAAGGAAGGGAAGAGGTGGGGAGAGGAGAAAAGCAATGCTCTCTCCTCATGTTTAATGAGTTGCGAGCCAATGAATTCAATGTCAAAAAAAAAAAAAAAGGCTAAGTCTCTACTTTTTTGGACTTTGCACAAGGATTTTATAAGTAGCAATGAGAGATTTATCATTTATCCGTGCCTCTCTTTTATAAAGACTTATCTTCTATAAGAAACAGCATGGGCGGACTGTATGCTGTGTATCAGCCTCTCCAGGTTACTCGTGGCAGAAGCAGCATCAAGTGCCCAGGCCCCGAGGCCCACCTGGGGAACCCCTTGGCTTGTGGGAGTGGGAGACACAGGCAGGCCCATTAGTGTCTCTGACCTGTAACCACCAGGAAGATCACATTGGGTTCTGAGAGCCTCGCCCTGACATGATCAGTGGTTGAGAATCCACACCTACAGTTGATGGCCAGAGGCTGGAGGCCAACAGCTCCGTGAGAAGTCTCCCACTGTGCAATGTGCTGAACAGAACTGTTTGAGGGGAGCTCTGGAGAGAATCTGTCCAACTGGAAGCTTTGGGGTAGCCTGCTTTGTGCAACAGTAACCTTGGCCTTGGGCCCAAACCCTTTCCATGAGGAGAAGAAATCTGTGTAAGATTTGCTTTGTTCAGGAGGTGGGGAGAGACTATCAGAGTGGTCCTCTGGTGTGTGGGGGGTCTGAGCCTCCCCAAAACACAGAAGGAAGCTTCTCCTTGGCACAGCTTCTGGAAGCTTCCTTTGTCCAGGTCGTGAAAACCAAAAAGCCTTCTTTTGGAGCCCCAGAAGCCAGAGTGTAGGGGATGCCCCTTCTACAGGTCGTTTCCTTGTTTAAATGCAACTTCACACCCTAGTCGCAGCATGGAGCCTCCTGCCTTTTGCAACAAGAAATCAGCCTGCTTGGATCTGGGGGCTGAGCCCTTACCTGTAGGGTCAAAGGTGGGGGTCCTTGGTGTGGCCTCCCTGGGTTTCGACTCCTTGTTTGGGCTACCATCAAACAGATTTCTTGATCTGGGTTCCGTGCTCTGTAGAGTTTTGTCCTCTCCACTGACTGGAATAGAGAAAAGCCCAGGGGCTGGTTTAGCTGGTTCTCAGGTTCAGGTAGCTGAGTTCACTTTCGGGCAGGTGGGAGAGACAGCTGGGCACAGGTTAGAGGGGACAGTGAGGCTGTGGGGGGTTAAGTGGCAGGGGCAGGGTGAACTCACTGGTGAGGTAGCAGTCCAGGCTGATGGAGATGTTGTCGAAGGCCACCGTGGCTCTGGATCCTTGTTCCCACCACGCGACCATCTGGAGCCAGAACCTGCACGCATTGAGAGAAATGCATGTGAAGACCAGACGGGATGGCTGGTGTCCCAGGCAGCAGAATCCAGCAGATGTGTGCTCATCACCGGCTTTTCAGTCTCAGCTAACCCCAGAGTGACAGCAAGAGGATGGAGGACAGCCTCTCCCCAACCTCACTCACACAGAGGACTTGCCTTTCTGAAGGCACCTGACACCTGGCCCTTAAACCCGACGGGGCACGTGGGCCTGGGACCAGGGCTCTCTGTTCCTCTGAGAGGATCTCTTTTGCTTTCCGGGTGTAAAGGATGGAAATGGTCAGGCCTGAAATACAGTGGGTGCTCATCCGAGGGGCTGACATCATTACCAAGACATTGGAATGCATCTGTGCCGGCTCACAGAACTGCTGTCCTGAAGTGCCTTGGGCTTGCTGCTTCAGACAATCTGGCTCCTTCCTAGCACCCCTGCATTGCCCCATTACAGCAACCAGAGGATTAATCTCTTACCCAGCAGGGTCTCAAGCATCCCAGGTCTTGTCCAGCATCAGCTGTGGTTGCCTGACTGGTTGTGAAGGATTAAATGACTTGACCGTGAGCCCTGGGAGTGTTTGTAACCATCTCAGAGTGGGTTGTAAAGTGCTAACGGTAAATCCATTGACATAGTGTTTCTTCTAGGCTGTTTCAGATTCTCGGAGGCCCAGGTCCTCAGACTGTGGCTAGGAAAGGCTTTAGAATGAGACAAACCAGACCAAAAAAATACCTTTGGTTCATTTGTTTCCTGGGAAATCTCTTCCTGGAATGCTATCCATCCACTCTTTTCTGCTATAAGGGGGAGGGTTTCCTGGAGACCTTTTTTTAAATTTTTTTAAATTTTATTTTTTTTGACAGGCAGAGTGGACAGTGAGAGAGAGACAGAGAGAAAGGTCTTCCTTTACCGTTGGTTCACCCTCCAATGGCCGCCGCGGCCGGCGCGCTGCGGCCGGCGCTGATCCGAAGCCAGGTACTTCTCCTGGTCTCCCATGGGGTGCAGGGCCCAAGCACTTGGGCCATCCTCCACTGCACTCCCTGGCCACAGCAGAGAGCTGGCCTGGAAGAGGGACAACTGGGACAGAATCTGGCGCCCCGACTGGGACTAGAATCCGCAAAGCGGAGGATTAGCCTAGTGAGCCGCGGTGCCGGCCTCCTGGAGACCTTAAAAACCCTTCCACCCTTCAGAATGCCGATTAAGAGTGACCTGAAGAACAGTGCACCTGCTCCAATGTGGATGTTAAAACACTGATGGAGAACCCACGCCCATCAGTGGGTGACTGGATGAACCACATGCTCCCCAGCCATACAGCAGGATGCTACTCTGCAATGAAACAGAATGGACCAGGAGATAAGATAGCAGGGGAGTGGACCTCAGAAATAGTACGCTAAGTTCAGGAAGCCTGACAATAAATAAGTGAAGACTTCTTGGTGAATGAGTCCAGGTACAGGAAATATCTAGAATAGGCGTCTGTGGGTGATGAAGACGTCCTCACATGGGACCGTGATGCTCTTTGCAGAACTCTGCAGATTTGCTAAGTGACTTACAACAGGTGAGCTTTATGCAATGTAAATAATAGCTTGATAAAGCTGTTAGAGGAGAGACAAGGGAGAAGGAGAGAGAGAGAAAAGTAAAGAAAAGGAGAGGAGAAGAGAGGAGAGGGGAGGGGAGGTGAGAGGAGGGGAGGAGAGAAGAGGAGAGGAGAGAGGAGGAAGAAGGGAATGTGAACCCCAAGATCACTGGCAGCGTGGAGCAGCCAGGGCAGAACTGAGACTGGAGAAAGCAGCACGGAGGGCGCATGGATGACGAGAGCAGAAGCTGACCGAGAGGGAAAGGCACATGTAGAAACAGGCAGGGGTAGAACATGTGCTCAGGTGGGTTTGCAGAGAGGCAGCCAGGCTCCAGCCAGGGAGTCAGCAGCAGCAGGGGCTGGGAGCCCATTAGGCATGAGAAGGAGACCTCTGGCAGCATGCAGAAGAGGCAGACGCTGGCTGAGCTATCGTGGTCAGAGAACAAGGACTCTCTCTGTGGAGGAAAGCCTTGAAATCAAAGGCAAACTTATCTGGACGGCACGCCTGGCATCGATTCTTCTTAACTGAACTACTCTAAATCTTCCTGTGCATTCACCCGGCTTGTGAAATCTGGTCATTCACAAATAATGCTTTCTGTCTGAGGATCCGAATCTGTCTGGCTTTAAAGAAGCAATGCCTGAATCTGGCGAGGCCATGGCCAAGCCCAGTCACATTCCCCACGATAGGGTCCACATGGTCTCTCAGTCCAGCACAGAAGACTGGTGGTTGGCTGGATGTGCGAGGAGTGGCAGCAGAGAAGCCCCAGGGCCTGTGTGGGGGGACACCTGGGCATGCTGGGTGCATGTGTGTGAGACGATGGACAACACACGAACTCAGCCACCCATGACCTTGGGCATGCACTTGCGAGATATCTTTCTTCATGGCCCCGATAAGCACCGGTTTCTATTTCACATAAAGTTGTCAGATATTAGGGCCTGCCTTAGGCCTAGGGGTGAAGGGAGGGTTCTAGGAGGAATCAGAGGGGAAAACTGCATTCACACTGCTTACTGTCCAGTGGAGAGATGGGGCGTGTCTATGTCAGTGTCCAATAGAGCAGAAGGGGGCTGGTGCCACAGGAGGTGCACCCAAGTGCTGTCAGAGCCCAGGGAAGAAGAATGACAGCAGCCTGGGGAAACTGGGTGCCTCACGGAGCAAGTGGCTTTTCCATTGGTTTTGAAGGCAGAGGAGGACTCAGGGATGTGGGTGTGGGGGTGGAGCGGAGTGAGGAGGAGGAGGAGGAGCTAGTGTAAGTGATGCACTGTTGGGGACAGGACCCATTTGGTGTGAGAGGTAGGGGAGGAAGTCAGGATGGTGGGGTCACGTGAGAGCCAGGCTGAAGAATTTCTACTGCCATTTCATTGAAAACGGGGAGCCACAGCAGGTTGCCAACACAACAGTGGCCAAATCAAATACTTGTGTTAGGATAATTACAGTGGAACCGGTAAGCAGATCAGGGAAACTGGAGGAAGCAGAGACAGGGCAGGGGTGAGTGTGTGAGATGCCCTGCTCCTCATGATTCTTACCCGGGTGCCCCATGCCTTCGCTAGGTTGCTCTGTGAGTCTTGGCTGTCTCCAAGGTCCCTGCAGGGGACACTGTATACAGGTGAGCTCCTGGTTGGAGCCTGTGTAACCCAGGACAAGACCTAGGCTGGGATTCTCAACTGGACTGGCAGGCCCTGTTCTTTTTAAAGGAGATGGAAAGGTTGGAGAAATGCCACTCCCCAAAGTGCTTGGAGCTACAGCAAGGTGAAACCAAACCTCTATTCAAGGGTCCCTAAAAGCATAGGGAAGATATCACTGGACCCAGACTCCCACCCTTAGCCCAAAGTGTCCTTGATTGACCTTTAAGACCAAAGGGAATTCATTGAATTAGGGAGGTGGTACAGCTGGCTGGACACAGTTCTAATCACTATACTCAAGAAGTCATTTGCTTCTTCGATGCATAAACCCTGATGGCCAGTGTTGTCTGGAGGGGTTTGTTTAGGGAATTCCAGGTCTGGACAGAGAAATTCCAGGTCTGCAGCACGAGATAACTGCCACTTACATGTAACTCTCCCAGGACAACTGAAGCCCATTTGGCCATCATAAAAACTCCCCAAGGGCATGGCATCACTGACCCATCAAAAGAAGGTCTTGAGCAACACGGAGCAACCAGGAGCTTGGACAGGAGCTGAGCATGCACCTCTTGGCCCCAATTTCAATCTAGAAGAACCTTTGCCCCCAGCTCCTCCAGGAGCCAGGGAATTAAGCCATGGCTGCCTCACTCCTTGCTCTGAACTTCGCAAATATACACCTACTTTCTTCTACCACCCTGAAGTCAGTGACTGGCTTTCTGCACGTTGGGTGAGCTGATCCGAATTTGGGGATTCGATACCAACAACTGAAACTAATTTGGGGTGTTCTGCAATAAAAGGGTGGCAAGAGAGAACTCTGTTTCTGGGTGGAAACATCAGGAAGGCACAGCGACCTGACTGCACCACAGCCGGCAAGGGTCCAAAGCTGCCCATGTTCCCGTTCTCCACCCCAGTGCACACCTCCCAGTCCATCCTCCACAGGCTGAGGAGCCAGATGGGGCGCTGATTTCCACGTTGGGCCACATCTGGGGTATACATTCCAGGAGGGCCTGCGGTGCCTGAGCAGGTAAATGAGGGCCAGGGTCCCTGCTGTCCCCTGAAGGAGTCCTTCCAGGAAAGCTGCAGGAAGCTCCCCCTTTCTGCTCTCCCCTCCCCTCTCTCTGCCTTCCTTCTTCACTCCTGAGAGCCTAGAGCTGCAAAGTTTGCTCACAGCCATGGGCCTCTTAGCATGGATGGGATGATGCAAGCTGGGCCTGGAACGGTTTCTAAATAGAAGAGTTTCTAAAGTGCTCTGCGAGGCAACGGCAGTGGCAGCTGCTGTCTAAAAGACTTTGATTGACACTGGGAATTGCACATATTTTGAGTCAGGAACACTCACAACAATCAACGGAGACTTAATCAGAAGGCAACATGAAAGCCCATGATGCCACCTTGGTCCAACAGGGGCCGCACGGCCTACCCTTTCCCAAGTGCACCAGACTCGCTCCAGAGGTGCACGGAAGGGACAGGTGTGGCAAGGTGGCATGAAGGTGGCCCACGGCAGGGTGTGGAAGGCGGGGGTGACGCGCAGGTATTTTGGGAGTGGGGTCTGGGGCAGCAGGCGATGGAGCAGAGAAGGTGCGGCAGGATCAGTCTTGGAGTTTATTTTCTGTGGGGTACCAGCCAAGGGAGCAGCTGGGCACCAGGACCATCTAAATTCAGGCTCCTCTACTCTGGACAGTACCTGGCTGTGTGCCTTTACCTGAGCCTCAGGTGAAGAGTTTGCTCCCGGTTCCCCTCACACTCTGCTAGACACAAGCGAGAGCAAGTCTCTGTCTTTCCGGCCAACCTCTCTTTTCTTCTGAGTCCCT